TCAAGTTCCACATGTATGTTGCGTGGGAAAGCTTAGTCAATTGCAATTCTCACTGTCAATTGCAATTATACATCTTGAGTCACGCTGAAGTGGCACCCGGTTAGGTATTTTAGAGGCACTTTGGCTGGGGGGTTTGAAGCCCCACCCCCCTCCTGGCCTTGCCTTCACAAAAAAGGTCAAGGCCCCGGTTCAAATGGTCACTATCCGGGCAAATTTTCTGGACAAAACTTAGCTGGCACCGTCGTATGCATAGATTCGCCCCTTTTTCACGTTGAAAAGTGCTTTTCTGTTGCATTCATGGTCTAGAATCAAGCTGACCCGTGGGACAAAAGATGTAAAAGCAGCACCGTCATAAAAGCATGTTCTTCAGCTGAAATCCGGCTGGGGCCTCGCCCCAAGCCAAAGGCGACAAGGCCCCCCCCCCCTCCCCACCTTCGATTGGCTGAAGCAACCCAAGCCCCCCCCCCAACAGAATACCTAAGGGGGTGCCACTTCAAAGTGACGGTACCTTTAAAGTAGGCCGAGCCAACGGCCCTCAGTATCATTAACACACCGTACATCATCTAATTGTTGGAAACGTACAGGCAAAACTTGAAAACTACCGTACATGGCCGCCTGCCCACAGTAAAGTACAGTTGATTGAAAGTCTAAGTACATGCTCAACCATCGGCTCATTCGTTAATCTAATGTTCGGACGATCGCCATCATTCGCTAAGCCACACATCTAATGCCAAATTTGTCGACAATCCTCGAACGCAGCGACTGGGCTGCTTATGAAGCATCCCTAACGCACCCATGCGTTAAGTAGCATCAATCTGGAATCTAAGGAGAGTGGCAGCCAGCGCGGCAGGTGCTCCCTACGCAGTTTCTGTTTCTCCCGTCTCCCGTTCTGCTTTGGCAGCAGATGCATAAAAGAGAGAGGCTGCCACCGGATCCCCCAGCTCGTGCTCCTGCGCAAACATCTGCGCTTTGAAGCGGTTCCTTTGGGTGGGCGGCTGCGCCTCGATCTGGTATGCTTGCTCGTACAGCAGAAAGACATAGCGGTGTCGTCCAACAGGAGGAGTCGGACCACTGTAAGGGACCACGTCCGTGCCTGCAAAGGAAGCAATTGCAAACTGGTTTACTCTCCAAGCAACCCCCCCAATCGTGCAGATGCACATGTCCTTCCCCGACATACATGGACGAAGAGACTGTTTGGCATCGTGCCTTCCCGCACTCTTCCAATTGTAAGCGAGAACGTCCAAACCTTCATAACAAGAAATTCTCAGAACTAAAGCGGGGAGGCACTAACGAGGAAGGCCTGGAAGGCCCACTTCGCATGACATACTTCTTGACGAGACATGCCTCATTCTTTCACGAGTACTTTGCAGAATCTGCAGGAAGCCTGGAAGAATAAAGCGCCGGGTGCCGTTGAATACCGTAGCCCGCTTTGCCAGACAAAGTGAGGAAAAGTGAAGGAAACACTGAAAAGCATATGAACACCAAAGCAAGCCCATCACGAATCTGCCGCCTCTGAAAACAAGACCTGCCAGACCCCCAGAGAGGAGAAGAGATGCGCAGGCTCACCCGCGGTGGCTTCCTGTCCCCCCGGGATGTTGGTGACCAGCCAGTGCAGCCACTCCGCCTCGCTGGGGGCCTCCGGGGAGGGCGCGTCAGGGTCCACCAACACCTGTGCACGCAAGCCATACAGGATCCACGCTGCAGGCAGGTGATGTGACAGCACTGCAGATGATGTAACTTGTAAGGGGCCCAGTCCATAAATGTGATCGAACTGTACAATTTAGCAGCAGCGGCCGCAGGTTGCTTTGAGCCCCAGCTGAGGAATCTACATACCAAGGGAATCCTTGAATGTCAGTCTTAGTTTATGCCTGCTTCTGCGCGACTCACCAGTGTATACAGGTCATTCTCACTCCCTCCTACTCGGACGGTTGGGAACACCTCCGCCTCCGAGGGGCTGAGCTCCGCCCCGCTCTGGATGGGCATCCCCTCGTACGCAATGCTGAGCGCCACGCTGGGCGTGAACGCGTCCAACATGTCCGCAATGAGCGACACCGCCGTCGCATCAAAGCGGGAGATCGAAACGTTGAGAGTACCAGCCTCACTAGAAATGTCACTGCGCCCATCACGACTCACTGCAGGGAGGATATAGCGCTGTCAGGGCCTAGCCCACTGCAAAGAACCTGAAAGAGCAAAATAAGCTTAAAAAAACAGAAAGGGGCTTTGTACTGACTCCACAAGGTCCTACTGCAGGTCTTCAACAGGTATTCAACAGCATTGGCACTGCAAATGCAGATTTCGACCACTAGAAGTTCTTTCTTTTAAAAAGCACTGACCATCCACAAATTGACAAGCCTGAGAGTGTCATTTTAGGAGCTGCACCAACAGAGCACCAACATTGTGCAGAAGGGCCTTTTGCTGGCAGCCCACCTGTTTGTACATCCCCCCTATCCGCCTTGCTGTCAGGCAGATTAGCTGGCGGTCCCGTGCCAAACAGGACCAGCGTGAAGAAAAGGCACGCCACCAGCAGGCAAGCGAGACCGGAAAGCCGGCTGCGATCCATGCCTCCCAGCAGGTTGTCAGCGCAGTTTGAAGAGCTGGAGGCCCTAATTCAAAGTGATGGATTCTGTAGGCTTGGGATTCTGAGTTTCTTCCCTGCCCAGTGCCATGTCGCCTACATTGCTATGTACGGATCGGTCTACATCATCATGAAGTGATGTCAGCTCGTCACGCTCCGGTCTGCTTCTGCCAAGTTCTGGCATCGATGAGAAAAGTTGATTTCTCATCGGAAGAATTCGTTGCTGAATCTTGATTCTGACGGGCGTTCCCCGGTGTGCCAGAAACGGCATGGATGTGCTTGGAGAAATGTATCGTCCTCTGACGTCCCCTTACATTCAGGAAACCCTAGAACCCTATAAGATGTCTGCTTTGCAAAAATACAACAGATCTGCCAGAATCCCAGCTAGTTGAATCAGCACTGCTGCCACTGGTTCTCGACTCCATTGGCACTGACAAAGCAACGCACACAAGGCTCACGTTGCTCAAGCCCCTCTCAAGCCTCGACTCTATGGCTGGTTGCTTTGGTTGAAATCTCAAAAGTCCAAAGCTCAAGTGATGGAAGTTGAAAGTGCTCAGTCTGCTGTCTGGTAGCAGGGTTGTTGCACGGGTGTTGGGCGGACGGACAAAACGGTGCGGGGCTGTTGTGGAGGACCGTACAGTCTTTATAGGCCTGTGACATCTCCTCTTTCCAATGGGGATGATGGCGGTGATTGCAAGGGTTGTTGCGTTTGTGCTCGTTGGGCTGCTGGCCCATGCGATTAGCGTGGTGGGCGTCACCCTCAGCGTGACCAACACCAACCCGCTAGCGCCCGCTGCCCCCCTCCTTGTGGCCTGGCAGGACCTGCCGCAGCCATCTCCCCAGGACTGGATTGGCGTCTACTCCCCCGCTGCTTCCCCTGACTCCCATTGGATTGGCTGGCTGAACCTCACCAGCGCCAGTGACAGCTGGCACACGGGCAGCGGCACCCTCAACATCACCATGCGGGACTTGCGTTCTGATCTCCAATTCCGCCTCTTCAAAGCGCCCCCCGATGCACCTCCCCCCGCAGAACCCCACACGTTGCCCGTTCCTTTGAGCTCGCCCGAAGCTGTGAGTGGCGTGGTGACTTTCGCAGGTGCTGGGCGGCCGCAGCAGCTGCATCTGGCCCTGACATCAGCCGCGTCAGAGATGCGCATCATGTGGACCACCGCTGCGCTGTGGCCGGGCAGCGAGGTGCAGTATGGGCGCAGCAGCCACATGCTAACAGAGCGGGCGCCGGCGCAGTGGGCCACCTACAGCCAGGACCAGATGTGCGAGGCCCCCGCCAACACAACGCAGGGCTGGCGCGACCCGGGCTACATCTATGACGCAGTCATGACACACCTCAGCGGAGGGACTACCTACTTCTACCGAGTGAGGCAGATCAGCATTTGCAGGGCCTTGGTTGAGCGCTGCGGAGTTGAAACGGATTGTCAATAACGAGCTTGTTGTGATTCCCGGCTTTCTTTTTGATCTCCAGCTTTCATCAGGAATGAAGTTTTTCAAGCATATTATGTGATCATCAATACCGTTGTCAACAACATCCGATTACACACAGAGGCGTCAATCTTGATTGCCAGCTCCTTGAATCGAGTTTCTTGAAAGGAGACACTCACTCAATTAAGGTTTTCCTTTGTATCTCCGCTGTGAGAGGAGCACTGGCTGTGGAAGCAGTCCAACATGCCACAGCAGCTTGGAATTCCAAGCTGATATCCTCTCAGCATAGATACGGTGGGACATTTTGGGTGATAGGTTCCTTCATGTTGTGCAGGTTGGCAGCGTTGCGGGTGGCTGGAGCGAGGTGTTCCACTTTGTGACCCAGCCGGAGGAGCCGGCCGAGACGTACGCGCTGGTGTACGGCGACATGGGCGTGGACGCACCCTACGACAGCTACGACCGCCTGCAGCCGGAGGCGGCCACCACGCTGCGCCTGCTGCAGCGGGACATTGAGGCGCTGGGGGACAGGCCGCTCGTGGTCAGCCACATCGGGGACATCACGTACGCGCGAGGGTGAGCGCTGTTGCGCAACGTGGGTGAATAGGATGCGGGAATACCTTGTTTGTAATGTATGTGATCTGGACAAGCTCGAAAGCTTCTAAAATCCATGGGCACCGCCGGGTCTTTCTGACAACAATCAAACATACAGAACAAAAGCTTCGCGGATGCTGCAGCTGCCAAACTTGGGAAAGGGCAATGCATTGGCACGGTAACGAGCAACATAGGTTCTGAGATTTCCAGATATTTCTGATGGTCTGCTTCGAAGGTTGCTCTTTGCTTTTGTCAGGAAGTTGCCTGCATCATCACTGTAATTGATCTACCATGCTTGGACCCCGGCTCAGCTGTGATTGTTTGAGTCTACAAACTTTCTCTTTGGTATGCAACAGCCTATGCGGCCTGTGACAGGCTGCTTGCTCACCATGTTCGTGCAGGCATGCGTGGCTGTGGGACGAGTTCATGGCGGCCATTGAGCCCGTGGCCCGCCACGTGCCCTACCACGTGGCCATTGGCAACCACGAGTACAATTGGCCCGCCCAGCCCTTCAACCCAGGTGAGCCACAGCGCCATCCCCCTTAACGCTGTGCGGAAGCGCTGTCCTGCCAGGATTGCGGCAGTGAGGGCGACACATCGATCTTCTCTCGCGTTCTGAAAGCTCCCCCGGCCCCTTCGGGAATGGCAGCTGGAATCGTCCTCACAAAGACCCGTGCCTGCTGTGAAATGACCGGCTTTGTCAAAAGCTGCCTAGGTCGTGCTGGCGGCTGCATCGTGCGTTTGTGACTATCCCATAGGTTGTATAACTGTCGAAGGTTCCGGTTCGTCCATGGTCTCACGTCATCACGTCATCGCCTGATCAAGTCAGCGTGGCTCTCTGCTTGCTGCTCCACTGCATGTCTGAATACTGCTTATGTGAGCAGGGACGGCTGCTGACAGTACACCATCTCGCTCAATCACCGTATGAGTGTCGAGACCCTTCAGCATGGTCGAAGCCCATAGGAGCCGCCTTGATATCCTCTGTGTCCCTTTCACAGAGTGGGCGCACTATGGGCACGACAGCGGCGGCGAGTGCGGCGTCCCATACAGCACGCGCTTCCACATGGCGGGGAGTGCCAGCGTCCCCACGGGCACCGCGGCGCCAGCCACGCGCAACGTGTGGTACTCCGTCGACGTGGGCACCGTGCACTTCACCTACATCTCCACCGAGCACGACTTCACGCCGGGTGAGCAGGCTCGAAGAACACCCGCCACATACAGAAACCGTCGGCTTGAGTCTCCTGCGAGTTGGGAGGTTCGGTCGAGGGCCGTGCCAAATCTTGGGCGTGATCCTGCCTCGTCAATGAGGGCGGAGCAACATGCTTCTGTAAATCCTTGTCATCGACTCTTGCGCGTTGGTAACTCATCAAGCTTCCAAGATACATGCCCGCTGGCGGGCGCTGACTGATCCTTGCCGCGGCGGTGTGCAGGCAGCCCGCAGCTGACGTGGCTGGAGGCGGACCTGGCGGGGGTGGACCGGCAGCGCACGCCCTTCGTGGTGCTGTCGGGGCACCGGCCCATGTACACCAGGTGCGGGCGGGGCAGCACGTGGCAAGCGAGGCAAAGAACCTTCGTTGCAGTCTCGGCTTCCAAGTTTGACAGGGTGCAGGCTTTGAAGTCATAGTTGGTGCTGCACGCATACGACAGTGTGTATCTGTCGACTTTTGATGCGTAGCGAGTATGTTGTTCGGGAAGCGACGATTATATCGCCAATGTACTTCGGCGAGGCAGATTTGCTCTGCTTGCTCTCTTCCCGTGCCCCCTTGTATTCTCGGGCGGAGAACGCGGGCGGGAGCGTTCCCTGAGTCAGGCCTCGGCCGCCAGCAGCCGTCGGCGACTGGTGCAGTCAGCGGGCTGCAAGGAGGGTCGCCCCGCTCTCGTGCCTTTGATTGTGCCCCCCTGCCGGCTGGCCTGACATTCTGGTGCGTCAACTTGTCTGCAGCAACGACGAGGAGCGCGACCGCGGCAAGCGCGCGGCGCTGGTGGCGTACGTGGAGCCGCTGCTGGTGGCGCACCACGTGTCGCTGTGCCTGTGGGGCCACGTGCACAAGTTCGAGCGGACGTGCCCCCTCGCCAACCACACCTGCCACGCGTCGCAGCAGGGCACCGTGCCGCCACCTGTGCACGCAGTCGTAGGTGAGCGGGACTTACGGCAAAGCCGCCAGCTGACATAGGAGCGTGCGCGCGAAAATCAAGGCTTCGACCTGGGGTCATGTGTTCGAAAAACTTGATGCAAGCAGTCCCTGGCGATTGCTATCAACGTGCATCTGACATCATCGGCGAGATTCCTGGCAACTACATGAAAGATAGTGCTTCCTGGTGCAAGCCCTTGCGCAGGGTGGCTCCGTGAAAGCGTCAGTTGCACCATTTTTGGCGGCCTGCACCCGGGCTCCTTTGGCCTAAATCGGACTCTCCGACTCGTCTGCGTGTTTGGCAGGCATGGCGGGGCAGGACTGGCAGCCGCCGTGGGCCCCGCTGTACGGCTTCATCTACCCCATCCCGGAGTGGTCGCTCTTCCGGCAGGACGGCTACGGCTACTGCCGCCTCCAGGCCGACCGCCACACGCTGACGCTCACCTACATCACCAGTGAGTGCCGTCGCCCGAGCACGGTTGACGGCTCGTATCCGCAGGAGGTAGTGATGCAAGTCGTCCTATCTGCGACATTGTGATCGTAGCGGGAAAGTGTCTGCGGCTGTGGGGCGGATGCTTATGAGCATGGAAGATAATTCGCAGTGAGGGCCTCGCTGCGGAGCAAGAGCTGCTGGCGATCTGCTTGCTGTGGCCAGACTAGTCACCTTTTGCGGATGTGACCCGTTGCTATTCATGCAGATCACGACGGCCGTGCGCATGACTACGTGGAGATCTTGAGCCCCGCTGCATATCTTGCGGGCAATGAGCAGCGGCCGCGGCCCATGCAGCTGTGGGCGGACGCGCCGGCCAGCACGCATGCGGCGGGGCAGTGGGTGGAGCACCTCGTGGTGGGAGCCAGCGTCAGCCTCGCGGCCGTGTTTGTGGTCGCATGGGTGGCGCATTGGCTCAGAAGGGCGAGAGGACAGCCGAAGGCTGCCAGCCCAGGCGAGGGAGCGTGGGACCAGGTTGCGACCACCGAGGAGGAAGTACCGTAAGAAGACGACCATGCTGCGCAAAGGGTTTTGGGGAACTGTACCTAGGTTGCCAGGTTGATCATTGTCGTCCATGTGATTGTTGCATCATGATTCAAAAGGCTGCTTATATGCCAAAGAAACGTTCCGTAAAATGTACATTAAGATTGATCCGCAGATGCTGACAATGAAGTTAGCCAGGAAAGAAAGCCAACACAACGCTCAATCGACTGATCAGGGTACTCAAGGGGAAAAATCGTAGCCACGGCGACGTAGCGAGTTCATTTTTGCTTAGTGGCTTTTAGTTGAGCGACAATATAGCAATATCTCTCTCGTACATGTACGTTGCTTGCAGACCTGCATGGAACCAGATGTTGAAACAACATGGCGATCCCGGCCCTACTTAGTATTGAACTGGATTATAAGCTGCATGCCTTTTCCATAACAATGCACGAACACATACGGTATGCATGTCCAGCTAGATGCGTAAGTTGTGGTTATATACGAAGTTCCATGATATCTTCATATTGTTATTATCTGAAGCTTCATAGGCTCTCATGAGTTCCAAACTAATACTTTAACCTTCTAGAAGGTTTTAGAATTAGTTTGAAACTCATGCTAGGGCATCGTGTCAGAACACATGTGCAAGGGCGTCCGGAACTCCGAAAATCGGCCCTCGATGGGGGGGGGCTGGTGGCTGGTGGTGGCAACATCTCCCCAACATCTAGGGGCGAAATTACCCCTAGGTAAACTCGCGCATCCAAAGGGGAGGCCCGGGGGAGGGCCCGGGGGGCTGGTGCCAATGGTGGCCGGTTTTAAATTCGGAGTTCCGGACGCCCCTGCACACATGTTTTGACACGATGCCTAGAGCTAGGTGGCCCAGCTCATGCAATCATGATATGCAGTAATTCGTACTTCTAGTCAAATGCAAATAGATATCTATCATAGTGCCTATAGCTTCGCCTCGGCCGGGCCTCGTTTCTCCGGTTGGTCATCGAATGCACGCGGTCTTAAGATCCGGGAGATCCGGAGACATGCATGATCGGTGTTGTATGACTCTACATACAGCTTGCCATAAGCTACGTACCGCATGATTGAGCTGCATGGCCGTACGATGGGCCATACACAGTTATAAATTAAGTTAAATTTCACTGATCCTCGCGGGCTTTTCAAAACTAGCTAAATAATGAAAACCAAGTACAAGCCAAAGTTATTTTTCAAAATAGGGTTTTAGAATTTAGGGTTTAAGGGTTTAAGGGTTTTAGGGTTTTAGGGTTCTAGGGTTTTAGGGT